AGGCAGGGCTGTCACTCGGCCGCCTGTGGTCCGTGGTTTGGGCTGTGTCGTATTGCGGTGCCCTGTGCTAAGCCTCCTTTCCAGGGCCTGCCCTGGTGCCCCCTGAAACTCAGCGGGTGTGTAATGAACGAATTAATGAGGGAGTTAGAGAATGTGGGAACCCTTCCACATGGCTCAGATCTGACCCTGCTGTGGAGACACCTTCCTGTGCGACACGTTCACATTCCCACCTTTCTGTTATTTGCAGTGTAAGCTCAGAAGCTTAGCCCTCCCTCCTCTGAACACTTGGGGATAAACCAGTGATAATGCCGCACCAGAATTCTTAGGATAAAGACAGGAAAAAGAACCAGCATGTGCCTGAGGGCAGTGAGTTTCTGGTGCAGTAATCCCGGGATCCTCGTATTCCCATTTTTCATAATTTGGAAAATAACTGTTACTGGTAAAATCACAGTTACTGCCACTCTGTAGTAAGAAGAGAGGAAGTTGATCCATGGGGCACCAGTGCGGGGAGCTGGAAAGAAAGGCCTTGTCCCCAGACCTTCACTGTGCACATAAGGAGGTGATTTGCTTCTGTAATTTGTTCATTCATCCTGTCGTCCAGTCATTAGATTTGAAGATGTTCTGTGTACTCATCCCTGGGTTCCTGAGTAGATGGAGGTGTGGACCCTGTCTCCCCTGGGGCTCACAGCCTAGCAGAAGGGGCCCTCCATGGGCCAGTCATTGAGTGCAGAAGTCATAAACACTAGACGAATGTGTCTGGCCCAGAGGTGGATGAAGCAGGCTGGGCAGGAAAGCTCCCGGAGCTGGCCAGACTCCTGTTAGGTTTCAGGAGTGCATAGGGGTTTGGCTAAGGATAGGAGCAATGGGGTAGGTTCTTAAACAGGGTGAAAAAGTCAGGCATGAGCTGCAGAGCCCTGGAGGAGGATGGAGAGGGGCCCTCACCAGAGGCTGGGAGGCGGGGCTTCGAGCTGCAGTATGAGTAAGTTTGTATGTTAGAGGTTGCCCTGGTAGTGGTATTGAATTCATCCAGATGCCATGAGAAGTGGCTCTCATATTCCAAGTGGGAGAAGATGGGAGCAGCAGCAAGAGAGATGTTTGAGAACACTTTAAATAACACAATGGACAAGATGTGCTGACCAGTTCTAGAGAGCTAGGGCTAGGGCTAGGGAAGACTTGGGGTAACCCTGGGTTTGTGGCCGAGAGCTCCAAGTCCTGGAGAAGCTGGGGCAGACCCCAGCCTGTCCACGCACAGCCAAGTGTATGGAGTGCAGAGCTGTTTCTCTTGTCCTTGGAGCTATCCATGAAGTGGCTTGGTTTTTGTACCATGACCAGCTCTGGCCCAAGTGATGGTTAGTCAGTGCCTTGCTCCTTTCCAAAGAGAGCTGGGGAGTTTATCTTCTGAGAGTAGAAAGAGTCTCTTTGAGATTAAGGAGGATGGGAAAGAGAGGCTGTGCTGCCTGTTGTGGTGGGAGCTTTTTTTTAAGCTTCTGTTCTGCAGGGGAGAAAAGCAGCAAAGCTTCGAGAGCAGGAACCTTTAGAAAGGCACAGCCGCTCTGATTGGTGTGGGAGTTTGAGCAGCAGCCGCTGCCAAGGTGGAGCTGACCAGGGTGGAGGAGGGCGCTGCCTGCCTAGCGGCAGAGGCTTCCAGAAACCCAGGAAGGTTTGATCACCAGAATAAGATTGCATGATTCATTTTAAATAAAAGGGAAAGGCACTCTAATTAGTCTATTTATAACTAAACTTAGATTGGGTTATTTGCTATGAAAGTCACAAAGTGATGAGAAAAATACCAAAGGAGCCTTACTGTTTAACTCTTTAGAAAGTCTTTGTGAGATCAGTCTTTCGTTTAGAAAAATGTTTTTTTGAAAATTAGGTTTGCTCATGAAGGGGTAGAGAGGACTGGACTGGGTTTAGATGACCTACAGGAAACCTCAGCAGAGTGTGTGTGAGCCACATCTCACTGCTTTCAGGGGACATTTGTTCCCAATTCCCAGGGCCTCAGTGGGCATGAGATAAAATTTAGAGTTTCAGGTGGGGCGTGGTGCCACAAGCTTGTAATCCCAGCATTCGGGAGGCTGAAGCAGAAGGATCCTTGTGCGTTCAACACTAGCCTGGGTTATAAAGTGAGCTCAAGACCAGCCTGAACTGCATAGTGAGACCCTGTCTGAAAAAAGGAAAAAAAAAAATTCAGAGTTTCAGTAAACTTGGATGGAGGAGGAAGTTTAATATTTTGATTGAGTTATAGTAAGTGTAGTTTTCCTCCATGTTATTGTGAAGATTCAAAATACAACAGTACTAGCAGTACGTGCCACCATTAGAAATTACGGCTCTTCATACTATAGTTGTTGCACAAATCTGAAAATATCATTTATATTCTTCACTGCTTTGTATATGTAGTAGCTACTCGATCCACTGTAGTGAGAACCAGCACCTTCATAAACATGGACATACAGTACTATAGCACAAATTTGTATCTATAAAAATTTTGATAACTGTACTTCCATGTAGTCAGTTTTCCTTTTTAATTCTGTGTGTTATGTATTTAGAAACATTCTGAGTAAGTTTATCAGCTTCACAGCTGGCTAAAGAGGTCCATGGCATATGGAAGGTTAAGGTCCTTTGGCCAAGATCCTGTCGTCCTGACATGGGACCTCCACCTGGTGGCAGCACACTCCTTAAAGGTTAAATCTATAATCAATAGTTGAGAAGAAATCTTAAACAGTGTACTTGAGCATGGTTTGCAAACACTTTCAGCACAACTCACAATAAGAATTAGGCTTGCCAGCATATCAGTACACCCGTGCTTATGTTTCACACAGCACTCCACAGCCTTACCATATGACATGTTGGTATTTTTTATGACATTCTAATATTCTCTCAATTCTCTTTCATTACCATAAAGTAGTGGCTGCTGCACACTGAACTGTACTTTCGTGGGCTGCGGTACACCATTTGACATCACAGGAGTCCCTAGTTCCACACATTTCAGAGACTTAATGCTTACATTTTAAGTTACTACCAACAAATGTGAATGTATTTTGTTTGAAATTATTTATTACTGAGCTATAATTTATGTATATACTGAAAGGAGCTGATATAGAATGTATAATGTTTTTGAGATAAATTCATTTCATCAGTAGTCTGATGATAAGCAAATATAATACCATTTGTGTGTTCTTCTGTTGGCAGGCTGTAAAGCCATCATTGGTTCACGTTATTATGAAAAAACTTTCATGAACATCTGCATACATGTGTTTGTGTGCACACAAGCCTTATGTCTCCTGGGTAAATAGCTGGGGTGGGGTTGTTGGTTTGGACAGTAAATAAATACAGGTTTGTCTGTAGGAAAATAACAAACCATTTGCTGGAGTGGTTGAACCATTTCACTTTTCCACTAGTGGGTGGTTTTGTGATGGCCTGGGTTGCTCAGGACCCTTGCCCATACTCAGTGTTGTGTCAGTCTTGTGCATTCCACTCAGCTTGATGAATATTGTAGCTGTACCTCTTGGTGGTTGTCGTTTGCATTTGTCTGATGACTAATGATGTTAAACATGTTTTTCATGTACTTACTAGCTATTTATTTGTGAAGTGTCTATAACCGATTTCACATAAAAAGTTTGTTTGTTTTTTCAGTATAATATATAGGACTGTTTAAATAGCTTGAGTATGGCCCTTTATGTCAGATACATGTATTTACTAATATGTTTTTCCAGTCTGAGGCATACATACTCATTTAATGATATGTTTTTAAGTGTGCACAAGTTTTTAACTTCCACAGTGTTCATTTTAAGAAAGTTTTCTTCTCTAATACTTTCTGAATCCTGTTTAAGAAATTCTTTACTGCCCCAAATCTCAAAAATATAGATTTTGACCAGGCATGATGCTGCACACCTGTAATCTCAGCACTCAAGAGCCTGAGACAAGAGGATCACCATGCATTCAAGGCCAGCCTGGGCTACATATTAAGTTCAAGGCTAGCCTGCACCCCATAGCAAGACCCTGTCTTAAAAAGCAAAAGGAAAGAAAAAAAAAGAAGGGAGGGAGGGAGCGAGCAAACAAGCTTGGTTTTGGCTTTTATGTGAAATCTTCAATTTATCTAAAATTATATGATAAGATATGATAAGTTCTATATATGATAAGATGTCAGTGCCACGTTTCATTTTCATTCTGTGTTTATATCTGTTGATCTAATACTTTTTGTTGAAACGACTTTCCTTTCACCATTGAATTATAGCACAGGATCGGGGGAAAAACTGTTTAGCCAAAGAGATATAAAAGTGACTTTCCCTGTAACCTAAAAACTGAGCCTTGGGTCTCTTTGACATTTCTGACCTATAGCCTTTCCAGCTTAATTTGTTGACACTTTTGATTCTCAGATATTACTTAGCAAGTGTGAGGATTATAAGGCTGTAATTTTTCATGAGATTTATAACTGTGGCTGTCCACAGAGCCATTAGCCCTATGGGGCTGTTTAATTTAAAATGTGGCTTTTCCATCCCACTTTCCACATTTTGAGTGCCCTCATATGGCTCTTGGTGACCCGACTCTTGAGCAGGGTAAAAGTCCCCAAGTGCCGGATGGCAGAGGCTGGCCGTGTATAGTTTGGAGTGTGTTTCAGTGCAACAGCTTGTATCTGTTCATTTCTGTCTGGAAGGAAGATTTGCCCTAGCTGTGCACAGATCAGTCTTTTCTGAAATGCATCTAGCACTGACCTATTCAACTTCTCCAGATATTTGGTAGTCTTCCACTGTCACTGGGGTGTCAGGGCACCCCCATTGCATGTGTGGTCTTCTGTTTCTTCTTAGCATTTCCACTACAGATGTTAAGCTTATGAAACAGTAGGTTATGACCTGTAACCCTGTCCCATATTGGGATTTCCATCCAGTGATGAACTCTGCTGCCATTTCATCATGAGCAGCCACATAGGAATTCATGACATTTTTCTCTCATCATTTACTCTGCATGAGCCACACCTTGACTTTGCCATTGGTGTCTTTCAGTGCAAGGATTTTGCTGTCCTGGTGGATCTTCATGTATCACCACAAGGATCAAACAGAGATAACAGCTGGTTTTCTGAACAGAAGAAAGAGGTACAATGAAGCTTTTTACTATTTAAACACAAATAGCTGCAGCTCCTAGAAGTATTAGTTCTTTCCTCTTTTCATTTTCATTAATGGCAAGAAGATTGATTTGTACTTAATGTTTGAAAAGTATTTGTCGTATTTCTAACGGCAGACACATGTATAGCTACTTGATTTCCCTTCAGAAACTGATATATCCATGTACCTTATATGCTACTCTTCAATTGACTGATGGATTGTGGTGCTGAGGATGGAACCCAGGGCCTTCCCGCATGCCGGGCAAGCACTCTGCCACTGAGCTATGTCCTCACTACCTACTCTGTCTTTTAAACCCCAAATTCTTCACTCCATTGTGTTGAGAAAAAGGATTCTCTGTATTAGGAAGAAGTTGAAGAAACCATTGCAGCAAGCAGGAATTGTGGTGTGACTTGTTGGGAAGGTGACTTGGTACCTGAAGTAGGTGTGGAGGTTAACATGCCTGTCTTAAATCCTCTCCTTTTATAGTGTGCTGTCCTTCATAGTCACCAGCCAGAGACAAATGAGGAGAGAGCTCCCTGTTCTTTCTTTCATACTGGTCAGTCAGTAAGGCAGATAGCGGGGTATGGTTATAAACTTGATCCTTGAGCAACACAAGTTTTGGCTGCATGAATCCAATTATAGACAGGCTTTATTTTTGGAGATTTATGATATTTGAAAAGCCCCTCATAAATCTTACATCTTAGAAACATTGGAAGAATTAAGAAAAAATGGGACATATCATGAGGGCATAAAATATATAAAAATATTAGTCTGTTTTATCATTTCCTGCCATAAAGTATATACAATTTTTTTGTAAAAAGTTAGTTCCAAAATTATGTACACAAACACAATGTGCACAGCACAATATGTAGTTGAGCTAGATAGGGACAAATTTAAAATTATAACTGCCCAAGATGAGCTATGGACATAGTGTACTATGTAATAATTTCGTAAGTCACCGTTGCTATTGTGGTGAGCTTGATGTTGCAAATCTCTGAGTAAACTGCAGGATGAGAGAGTCATCTTCACGTGAGCAGTCTGTCATTCCAGTAAATTGCACATTAACATAGAATGTTCTCAGCTGGGAGTGATGGCACATGCCTGTAATCCTATAGTCCTGGAGGCTGAAGCAGGAGGGTCACAAGTTTAAGGCCATCCTGGGCAACTTAGCATGACAAAAATAAAGTTTTTAAAAGGGCTGTGGCTATTGCACAGTGGTTGGAATTGTTGTCTATCACGTGTGAATCTCTGGATTCAATCTCCTGTACCTACCCCCGTGACCTCCTACGGTTCTGTAGTATTTTTCAGAAAAAATGTGTGTTAATTGACTGTCAATGATAAAACTTCCAGTCAATAGCAGGCTATGAGTAGTTAAGTTTTAGGGGAGTCAGAAGTTATACTTGGATTTCTGACTATGCAGAGGGACAGAGGTCAACTGTATGACCTTTGACCTCGCTGAGCTTCAGAGCTTCACCTTCTCACCTACAAATGCAGGGCTTTGACCATACTGCCCAGGTCCCTGCTTGGTCCTGAATTGCTGTGTTTTCACTGCTCTTCTCGAGGCTTAGCAGGTGCATTTGGTCCTCATCACAGACTTTGCTTCCTTCTCCAGACCTCTGCTTACCAGAGAAGACAGTGGCTTTTATATAACTTTCAAAATACCATTGTACTTTGTTCCCTCCACAGCAGTCATTTGTGCTGTTACTTTTTAGAGCAAGAAATAAAAGTAAGCTTTATTACAAGGTAATATTATATGGAGAAGAAGTTAGTGATAGTAGCTGAAAAAAATCTTTCCTGTGATAACTTTTCATTTGGCTTTTACAGGTCATTATAAAATTCTCCTCCCCTGAAAATTACAGAATAATTGCAGTTTTTAGTGGAAAAGTGGTATCATCAGGACTTAGCCATCATTAGTTTGCAAAGGATTCCTGGTGACCTGAAGCTGGGGAAGGCACAAGGTGTGCTGTGATGGAATTTATCACCCATGGTAATGCACTCTGGACTGTGCTCTTCAGGTTGTAGTATCTTGCAGACCAAAATCTCCTGCTGCCCCCACTCCACCTTCATGGGCTTCCAGGCATTCACTTACTGACACATGTCTGCATGATTCAAATAGTTCATTCATTTCACCAGAGTGACTAATAGTTCACCCAGGAGGAATCTTACCCAAAAAGCTTCAGATGTGACTTACATTAAAAGTGTTCCAGAATCTACCATTCCAGGCTCAGATTTTCCTCTATTCTCCCTTAGCTTTACCATGTTGTCCTTAGACCCGCTGTGTTGATGTTTAGTCCATTTTCCTCAAGAAATGGTTGATGCGGCTTGTGTTAGGAACAAGGGTGTGTGAGTCACCTTCCAGGGAAAGCATGAGGCTGGAGTTTTTCAGCGTGCCACACGCAACCACATCGCTCCACCTAGTACCTACTCAGGGCATCGCTCCAATGAGAACCTACTTCAGGGCAGTGAGACATGACTTAGCACGGATGTACCATGCACGACCAGACCTGCAGCGGCAGCTGCGAGAGCGCAGATCTTGCCAGCAAGCTGAGCTTTCCTCTCAAAGAAAAGTAGATGGTTTGCTGCCTCGACTTTAAGTGGTTCCTTTAAAATGTGTCTTCACTGACACTGAAATTACCCGGGGATAATTTGTGTATGTGTCTAAGAAAGGAGTAGAGCCCACTGTAGACGGGTTATGACTTTATCCTCTGTTCAGTGTCTCAATACTTTTATCATTTTTATCTTTAGATCATCTCATGATTGGGATTCCATGGGCAGCCAGTTTGATTGCATTTTAACAGTCACTTTATATAGTGAGAGCCTAAGAATATCCTGTTCCTCTTAGAAAAAGGAGCTAATTACATATATTAAATATATGTTTATTTTGAGTCCAGCACAAGTAGTCTTTGTACCCAAACAGTCGAACTCAAACTGTTCCATTTGGATTTTCGAGGCAGCAAGCATAGGCCCCTGTTAGGCTTAGGAGATGCCGTATGTGTCTCTTACTCGATCTTCTCCTGTGCCCTTCGCATCTTGCCAGCAGTTTTCCTTTTTGTACACTGCCTTGGCTCTGAAGAGGCTGCTTCGCTAAGTGTGGTGTGGTCAGTTACTGGGTGTCTTGATCACCTTGCACCCTGTCTTCCTTTTATTTGTGAGACCTACCCCATGGCAGGAGAGCTTCATAACTATAGGGGGAAGCTTTCTGCTATAAGCCTGAGCTCTATTTTTGTCACACTATTTTTAGTTCAAGCCTTATAGGGTATTTATGGCCAAATTTTAGCAATCCTTGTTTCCATGTATGTCTTTCACATATTTTCTAGCTCAGTCATACCCGAACCCTCATGTGAAGCAGAATTCTTTAATTGCTGAAACGACAGTGCAAGTCAACGCTGCCTTTCTGTTGTGTGAACAATGCCAAAACACTCTGCTGTAAACAGATATCTCTGTATTCCACAAGGCACTGACAGTGTCTTTGGACTGCAAAGTGAAAATCAGGAGAGAAGAGTCCAGTGTTTGTGTTTCACCTAGAAACTCCTCGTTGTATTCTAAATCAAGGGCTTTATACACTGTTTGAGGGATACAAATATTTGCAATAAAGGAAACCTTGCTGTGGTTGCTCTTCAGGGCAGCTGAAAACTTTGTTCATGTTTTACTGTATAAAGAATCTTACAAGATCAACCTGAGATGACATTGCAAGAAACCAGCAAAACAGGTTTGAGGTCACCTGTGCAGCTCTGAGTCTGCTGCAGCCTTCCCGAATTGGATTTATTAATCCTTGGGTATCAACTTTGTATATAATCCCCCCCCAGTAGATTGCATTTTCCTGGTAGTGCAGGAAACACCACACAGTGTAGCTCTCCAATGTGTGGTTAGGCTTTTGACTTTTTTGTTTGTCTTTTTATAAATATCACAGATATCTGAGCCAGTTGACATATCTGGTTAGTGGTACAGCATGCTGAAATTGAATTAAAACCTGTTTCTATTACCTAATAAATATTAATCTACTTTAGAGGAATGAGAGAAGCTGAATTATTTTCATCATTCACAGATGTATATAGCACAAGCTCAACAAAGCCAATAGACATATACAGTGTCATCAGCAAGAGTGAGGAAAAGTCAGATTACCCATTTCCAGCTTTCTGTGTCCCCCCATTACTCAGTGTTCCGCCTTCTTCAGCAGATGTGTAAACCTGAGGCCAGAAACTAATGAACGGTGGTGTTTACATTTTCAAATTTTTAAACCAAATTTGAAAACTGGGAAGTTTTTATATAAACATCACTGTTGCTGGCTCCTCTTGAACAGATTAAAAGATCTGGCAGCACCAAGCCTCTAAACAGAAGGGTGCTGTGAGACCATGGGGAGTGCCCCTGTGGCCTGGGCGAGGTCTGGGTCCCCCTGCCATCTGCGCCCCCCCGCAGGACGCAGGATGAGAAGTTGTTCTTTCTCCTGGCTCCTTCCCTCGACAGTCCCCAGCCCGGCCACCAGGGGTGCTTTCCCAGGCCTTGCTCCCCGCCAGCCCTGGCTCCATTTGACTTCTCCCTTCTATTCACAATGTAACAACTGTTTGATATTTATAGGAGAACGTTTTTTACCTCACCGATTTTATCACCATGTCATCCTGAGTTTTATAGAGAATTAAGCTTTCCTATCTTACTTTTGCCATTGTGAAAGACGTGAACTGAATTTCTCAGATCACACAGTGGACCGGCATCATGGTTTTGAACAAACCTCCATAGCATGTTTAAATCTGTGGTGTCATCCACAAGCATGTAACATTCCTTGCAACATTTATAGTTAAATTAAAAAGCAAATGAAATGTCTAGTGTTGACTTTTTAATGCTTAAGATGTTAACTGTTTTGCATTGCATTAAATTAGAAAGTTATATCCAATTTTTTATTTACTTCAGGAAGTCTGTTTGCTATTAAAAGAAACCATTGATTCCAGAGTTAAGGAGTACTTGGAAGTCCGTAAACAGCACAAGCCATCAAATACAGAATTCACAAGATCCAGTCCCTTGTCCTTAAAAGGTAAGCACAAAGCACTTTGATTTTGGACAAGGAAAACAGAATTTTTGCTTTGTGGAGATGGCAATTATATTTGACTCTGTCATGCTAGTATAGTGATACATTTAAAAAGTATGTTGTAATGAAGATACTTTGTTTGGGTAAAGAAAATTAACTGAAAAGCTCTGAAGGGCTTTTAATGGTAGGCAAAATATATAAAAATAGCAAATAAAACATTCCTAAGGAAACTGTAAATTTTTTAAAGGTTTTTTTTGGGGGGGGACAAATAGTCTTATAAATGGGTTTACATTAATACCGACTTAAAATTGACTTAGGCTTTTCTACTTTTTAAAAATATTTTCATATATTCCATCCTTTTTCAAAGGTTGTCAGTTGTGCAGTTTTTCCACAGGGGATGCTTGGTGATGTCTGCTGACAGTTCTGGTTGTCATGACTGGCAAGGGGTGGGGTGCTAGTGGCATGTAGTGGGTCGGGGCCAGTGATGACACTATGTACCTACAGCCTTTCACCCCCCAAACAAAGAATTATCAGCCCCCAAACATGAAGGGTACCAAGGTTGAGATATCCGTTCTGTTTCCTAATGATACAATAGCATGGTAGTATCTTTGAGTTCTGAGTGAAGAAGGTGAGAATCTGCAGGATGAAGTGGCCTCCCAAGTAAAAGATCATCTTGTTGAAGACAAAGACTGTCATTTATTTAGCATTATCTCTTCTCATGCTCTCCCTGGCCCCTAGTACTTAGCCCAGTGCCTGATACTCACAGATCACTATGTTACGTTGAAAGAGTGGCTGAGTGAAAAGTGACAGAACTGGAACCAAGAGGACAGTTCTGACTTGCACCTCAATGTTCTTCTAGTCAGTGTTATGTTTTTAATATTTTTTTAGGTCAGCATTTCATAGCACTCTTTGAAATACAGTGACTGAACTGCTTTGAAATACAATCAACCCGCATTAATTCTCAGAGGACAGGGACTGGGCTGCTCTGAGCAGTCCCTCATTATGCTAATGTGACACCTCTTAGAAAAATACCGTGTCAAGTACACTTGGAAGGTTTCCTTGATCCAGAGTATCCACCCTGGTGTTGATGGTACGTAGGTGGGCAGATTAATGTTACCCAAGCCGAATGGGATAGTTAATTCAAACAGCATTATATTAGAGGATGTTTTCTGGTTTGTCACACAGTAGCAGTATAAATCTTGAGAAAAATGTAAGAGTTTGCATCCTGTGTACCCCATTAGACCTGACCGGCCTCACTTTCTGGCTGGTACAAAAGCAAAGGAACAGAGCAAGTTTGCAAGGCCTCCCTCTCTGGTGTGATCAGCTCTGCGGCTGGCTCGGTAAGTGCTGATCTTCAGCCAGCCCTTCCTGGCCTCCCCTGACTGACGTGTGAAGGAAGCTACAAGCTTAAACTTCCCAGCCTGCCTCATAGGCAGAGATCACAGTTCTCACCTCACAGTGAAAAGCAAAGCCTTTCTTAAGCTTTATCTGGGAAGATACTTGATTTTATATGGAAAAGTGATCTGCTGATAGAATTTTGAAACTATTTTTCCCATCTATAACAAAAGTCTTTTCACATCACACACATCACCATTTTTTTTATTTTATTTTTTGGTTTTTCTCCGGTACCGGGAACCGAACTCACGACCTTGCACTTGCCAGGCAGGCGCTTTTGCCGCTGAGCTAAATCCCCAGCCCCCAATTTTTTTATTTTAAAGAGAGTAGTAAATAAGAAACCAACAAACAAAAAAATAGAACAGTAGCAGCATACCAATACGACTTGCATAAACAAATCAAAGCAAGAACATTCAAAGTGATACAGGGTCTCAGGACAAAAAAATACGAATCGACAGTGGTTGTTACATTACATATAGCTATCCTCAACTACATTGCTCAGATTACCAGATGTAAGAATAAAAGATTGCTCAAACCATTAAAGAGAATAAGAAAATAATTCTTTGATAAAACATTAGAGATAATACAGAGTTTCGCTAGACAAGATGGTAGAAGTTCATCATTGTAATTCCAGTGTATATTGTTACCTTCAAATCAGTTGCTCAGACCACCAGACACAAGCATGCAAAGTCAATCAGAACATAAAAAATTGTGAGCTTTAACTGTTCATTTCAATACACCATCAGACATCAGCAATACAGTCATCACTGCTACTCATACACATATTTATATTTACCTTCCTTCTTTTTTCTTCTTTCCCTCATCCCAGTCATTCCTTCCTTTGAGCAATTTCTTTCCCTTTCCTATCATCTATTGTATTTTTGAGTTTTACCTAGTCTTTCAGGTTCCTACACTAAGGAGACAATATGATGTTTACACACGTGGGTTTGATTTATTTCACTTATGAGTATGGTCTCTAGTTGCATCCATTTACCTACAAAAGCCTCGAGTTTATCTTTTTTTACAGCTGAGTAATACTCCATTGTATAAAAATACAACTTTTTTATACATTCCTCAGTGGATGGGTGTCCGGGTTATTTCCAAGATTTAGCTACAAATTGTGCTGCTATAAAATGGGTGCACAGATATTGCTGTAGTATGCACATCACCATTTTTAAAATCTTTTTTTGTGGTGGTAAAATAAATACAACATACAATTTACCATTTTAACCATTCTCAATTGTACATGTTAGTAGCATGAAATATATTTACTTCTTTTTTTTCTTACTTTTTGAGACAGCGTCTCACTATGCAGTTCAGACTGGCCTTGAACTCACTGTGTAGCCCAGGCTGGTCTCAAACTCACAGTGATTCTCCTGCCTCAGCCTCCCAAGTGCTGGGATTACAGGTGTACGTGACTATGTCTTGCACATTTGCATTATGGTACAGTCATCACTGTTACCTATCTCCAGAACTTTTTAGTCACCCTAGGCTGAATCTTTGTACCCATTAAATAGTAATTCCCCATTTTGCCCTTTCCTAGTCTTTGGTAGCAGCCATTCTACTTTATAGCTCTGAGAGTTTGAATTTTGAATTTTCTAGGTACGTCACATAAGTATAATTCTACAATAGTTGTCCTTTCCTTGTCTGGCTTATTTCATATAGCATAATGTTTTCAAAATTCCTATTGTAATGTTTATCAGAATTTCGTTTCTTTGAATGCTGAATGGTAGTGCATTGTAACATTCCAGAGACTGCTGTACCATGTTTTGTGTTCAGTCATCTATCAATGGACACTTGGATTTCTACCTTTTGACCATTGTGAATATAACTGCTACAAACGTCAGAGCATGAATGATCTGTTCAAGTCTCTGCTTTCAGTTCTCTGGGATATACACTACCAAGTAGAAATGTGGAATTATATGGTCATTCCGCTCAAGTTTTTTGAGATACTGCATATTGTTTGCCATAGTGACTACCATCATTTTCCATTTCCACCAGCAGTGTGTGAAGGTGTTGTGTGCTGTACATCCATGCCAGCAACTTATTTTCCGTTACTTTGGTAGTAGCCGTTCTTATATATGTGAAGCAGTACCTCAGTGTGGTTTTGATTGGTATTTCCCTAATGAAAGTCATGTTCACCGTCTTGTCCTGAGCTTATCAACCATTAACGCATCTTCCTTGGAGGGATGTCCATGTTCTTCATTCATTTTTAGTTGGATTGTTTGTTGTTTGTTGTGAATTGTGGAGGTTCTTTATATGGTCTCAATATTCCTTATTAAATTTAGGATTGGCAAATATTTCCTCCCATTCTGAGGTTTTGATTTTCTTTTCTTACAGTAGACTGACCCAAAAAAGTCATTAGCTTTACTACTATAGCCACTTTGTCTGTTTCTTCTTCTGTTGCCTTGCCAATGATGGCATGTCTAAGAAATCATCGCTGAATCTATTGTCATCAAGCTTTCCTTTATTTTTCTTTCAAAAATAAACTCTACAGAATTAGCCTTTACAGTCAAGTATTTAGTCTATTTTGAGTTAATTTTGGTATGTGATTAAAGGCAAAAGCTCAACTCCATTCTTTTGCAGATGGCTTCTCAGTTTTCTTAGCACCACTTGCTGAGAAGACTGACCCTTCTTCATAGAACAGTCTTGGAATCTTGCTGAAATCATTTGGCTGCATGTACAATGGCTTATTCCTATGTTTTCTGTTCTTTTCCCCTGGTCTATATGTCTGCCCACATGCGCTGTGAAACTGGCTTTTTAGTAAGTTTTGAACCCAGAAAGTGTGAATATTCTAACTTTGTTCTTTTCCAAGATTATTTTGACTATTCCAGGTATGCATAACCATTTTAATAACTGCATAGTATTCTATTACCCTTAATTCATTGGTGGGATTTATTTAGATTATGTCTAATACTTCCACTGTATTAAATATTGCACTGAATATCCTAATAGTGTACATATTCATACATTTAAATTTTTCTTTAATATTTCTAGTTGAATGTTCATATCTTTGTTGATTTATGAGGGCTCTTTCATTATATTGCTTCTGTACCATATAAGTTGCCAGTGATTTTTCACTGTCGTTTGCCTCTGACTTGGTTTATTTAACTGGAGAGCTGCAAACAAGGAAAAATTCTGTTTGTCTCATGCGGCCTCCAGGACCCTTAGCGGAATGGATGCTGGGTTTCCTTGTGGCGAGACAGAAGAGCATTGATTGACAGAAAGGCAGTGATAAAGTTACCCTGTGCTGTCAAGTCTGTAGAGAAAAAGCTGGACTATGCATATATTGTTTTTAAAGTAAACTTGATTGAAGCACCATCTTGCCTGTCCTTCTACACTGACAACAGTTATTCTTCAGCCAGTCAAGTGTTTGAGGTTCACATCTTGATCTTTCCCCTCCTGTCTTTCTGGTCCCTCTCCAACCTTTCCTGGGCAGCTGCAACAGGCACTTGGCTGGCTCCTTTCTCTGCGGTGGTGGTGGTCGGGGCGCCATCTCCTGTGCACACTTCAGTTAGGTGAGCCCTTAAAATGACAGGTCAGTCTTGTGCACCTCCCCATAAAGCCTATCAGGACTCCCCCAGGATCTTTTTTTATTTTTCGTCTTTTTG